AATAACAACTGCATGCTTAATTAATTTGAATACATAGCTGACGTGGCTGCCTCCTTACTCCTTGCGTATTTAAAAATCACCGGTGGTCTATCAGAGTTCCCTCAGCAGGCTATCATGATTGTCCAATCAGTTGTTCAGGTCAATTTTCTAGGTTCTTATGGTTCAGAAATGCCATAGCATATTCATTGTAGGCCATTTTGGATAATCCTAGCGTCATGGCATGTTTGCCTTCCTTCTTTAGCTGGGAATTAGCAAATTATTTCATGCCTTTCGTGGCTTGTCCTTGCTTGATTTATACGCTTATTAAGTATCATATCTGTATTCTTAATCATTCTTACTACTGCTGATACTCATTTATCTCCAAAAAAAACTAGTAATACTACTTGCCCTCTTTGATTTTGCTCTTGCATTTGGTGTAATCGTTAAGATTTATGTTAAAAATATGATAGTGCAAGCTATATTAACCTTGATGCGTTGGGCATATTCTTAGATGGGATATAATTGCTGAGAGATTGGGTTTCATGCTGGTGTTTGGAGATCTAGTTTGGATACCATTCACCTTCAGTATCCAGGTATATCACCATACTATATTTAGCTCCTATTTGACCCCCATTCTCTAAAAACTCATTTTCAACCACGCATTCTTCCATTAAAATAATTTTGCATATTAACCTAAAACTTGTCCTTACTTTTAACCACACGTTCTTTAAAAAATCACCATTACAAAACTACTACTTCTTCTTTTTATTTATTTATTTATTTTTTACAAAAATGAGGCTTAAACACACCCTTAAAATACAAAAATGTTCATGTTTTTTTCTTTTGGATGTTTGTGTAACATCTATAAGTTGTTTATGGAATAGTAGTCTCCCAAACTATGATCTCGTTAACCCTCGCTAAAATTTTGCCTTTGGCTTAATATCTTTACAGAACAAGTAATAGTTTATGAGTTGGAAATCTAGTAGATGAAGTCTTTCTACGTTGCATAGCCCACTCAACTTCGAGTGGGTTGGGTCAGAACAAATGCTATATAGGAACTAGTGTTCTACCAACTAAAGCAGTAGTTTACCTACCCCATTCATTTTATTATACTTATTTCACTATTGGACATATTGCTATTCTTTTGATTGTCATTGAGCTTAGCAAGTTTAGAAATTGATGCTAATGGGAGATATTAGTGAAACAAATTTTCTTGTGCTATCGTTAGGTTATTAATCCTTTCTTCTCTATCTGTTAAAAGGGCTGGTGGCTTCTGAGCAATAGGGTGGACCTAACGATGGCTGCTGTCATTGCAAATTGTCTTGTATTTCTGATTGGGTAAATATTTTTTACTCAAATGTTGTTACAGCAGTTGTTTGTTCTATTCTATTTTCCATTTCTTTGTCATGTAATATCCTCGTCTCAATCTTTCCTGCTTACACTGCTCACTTTTGTGTATTTGGAAAGCTATTGCGTATTTAGAGGAGCTAACAAGCAGAAACATGATTTCAAAAAGAATTCCAAAGCACTGATTTGGGGTAGGCCTCCAAAAGTAATCGGTGGAAAGTTGCTTGCTTCTGGTTATTGGTAAGTTTTTGCATGATATTTTTAGTGGTCATTTTGTCTTTTTAATAAACTCAATCTCTTTAAGTGACATGAATACGAGTTTGTATACTTTATATAGATGACAGAATTGATATTATCTAGAAAGTTTTCCAGCTCAAAAAAACATTCTATCCTTGTATCTCAAGTGAAATGACATTTGTATATTTTCTATATTTTCTTGAAATGACATTTCCTAGCACTCTTGGTTTGCAAGAAAATATATTTTTCTTTTATTTTGGAGGGGATGGTGATGGTATAGGTGCTAAGGCAAGGGAGGGAGGGACAATTATACCGTTACTGACATGTTTGGTAAGATGGATTAGACAACACTGTATAACTATTAAGCAACAGAAGGAAATTAAAAATATATATGTTGTATTCTACTATGGTCCAATGC